GGAGTCCCTTCAAACACAGGGGAACGGTGGCCGGCAGGAGAGCGACAAGCGTCGCCCGACAGAGGGCGTGGCTGAGCGCCCCCGCCCGTGGGGGTTGATGGCCCGGCAGAGCCCCGAGAGGAAGCACCGTTCGTACCCAGGCACAAAACGGCATGGTGATTGCCCTGGCAGTGCGGACAGGGCCGCTGGTGCGGGCAGTCTCGTTGGAGATGCCTTTCCAAACACGAGTAGCACCAGCGGCGCTCCTTGGCGATGGTTCGTCTCGCTGGGACTGGCTTACCTAACAATTTTAGGCACACCGTCACCCAGTGGTCGGATGCTCGACAATAGGAGCAGGGGGGGCGCCTCGCTCTACTACCAGAATTTGTACACGCCCTTAGTTGCCCCAACAAGGTCGACGGGATTAGGGCCCATGATTGGTCCCCTCGACGAGCAACCAAGGGCGGAGTGGCTTCTGGATAAATAAATTATAACGGTTAGATACGCAAACACAAAACTTACAGAATTCCAAAGTGTAGGGTCTACCACAAGGTGGCGTCAGGGGCAAGTAAATGGTAGTTGGTGTGTAGTGTGGGAAAGTGTATAGTGTAACCTGACGTCACCAATACGATCAGATAGCAGCACCACGTGCACCGACCGCTCCACAAGACGCTCACCGCTATTGGAACCCAAGTCCAGTGTCACTTAGCCCGAACTATAATCGCACCCGATCTACAGCGGGATCACATGGTTCAACGTTCTCTCGACAAAGTAAAAGTCTTATCACGCTATCATCCGACGCACTAATAACTCGTCGATGCAATTAACGGCATAAAAATTCCTTTAATCACTCCATAATCCAAGTAGGCCTCTTGACATGTAACACGTTCAACACAGACAACTAAACTAGAGGCGGTCTAGAAAATCGCGGGCACAATTAACCAAACCCTAGGCCTTCAAGTCAAAACACCGGCTGCCCACAACCGTATACCAGTCACAAACAATACTTAAAATGGTTACAACAATTATATTATTCCGGCCTCGTTATCACGAAAACAAATTAAGATAACACAAGGAGGCCGCCTTTTCGACGCGGTAATTGTATAAAAAACAAACGGGACCTCTGAACGATACGGCTCGCTCACCAAGAAGCTTGAGACCCGTCGGCGCGGCCGTCGGCCGCACAGATCCGCCCCCCCCCCGGCCCCGCTGTCAAACCGGTTTCCTGCTCGAAACGCGCGCCGTCGCAAGTTGCAAATTGTTAAAATTATGCCTAAACATAATATATATAAATATGATATGCCTCAAAATTTTCTGTGGAACAATTTGTAGTAACCACGTATCGCTATCATAAACTGCAACTGATAAGCTTCCTTAAACTGTCCAAAATGGAGACCAATAGCACAGAGTAACCTAGTTTGGGCTCCTGTCTCCCACAGCTACTCAAAACTCTTAAACTATTTATGAAACAAATGTAACTATGTAAAAAGTGGGAGAAATAAATGTTTATTATTATTATTATAACTGCCTGCTGGCTATTTCGATTAAATAGCAGGATTTGGATTGAATGGGATGACTACTGTTCTCCAGGACAGCAAGAAATTTAGGTTAATCTTTGAACTAGCAAAATGCTGTTCACTATCGGAGTGTGGGTAAGTCTGTCAAACAGACTTTTATTTAATTACAATTTTTACGTTATTAAATTAATTTAGGAGTAATGATACCGTCATGTAAGAATATCCACTACCCCATATCGCAACTTGAGTGTCGTAAGAGGCGACAGAAGGAAACTGAATCATCAGCATCTTCTCAAAATAAAAAAAGACTGCAATTATCACTGCGTCGAGTGCGAGCAATTTATGAGAAAGGCCTATGTTCATCATTGGATTTTCTAGTCTGAAATGGATGGATGGAATATTTCGAGTGATGCTTAGCTCTTGTTATCTTTGCAAGCTCTACACTGTTATACGTTTCCCACAATTGAATAATTAGTCGATGTTTGAAGTGCAAACCTAGAACGTGTTTGCACAACAGGGCCGGAGACGTTATGCAAACAGATATATCATAACTTATTCTATTGTATTATGTCTGGAAAGGTGTCTGTTTAAACCAACAATCTTTATTAAACGTCAAACTGAATCATGGTAAAATGAGAAAATTTTAGTAATTCTGTTATATTTTAAGGTCAATTCAGAGAAAGTCTGAAGTTTTAGCTTAAATTTCCAACGCTAAAATAAGCACCAATTTACACCAATGTTATGTTAAGCTAATTTAGATCGTGAAGTTTGAGTTTGAGACTATTATTGGATTCCGGCTTAAGAGTCTAAAATCAAAAAAAAAACAAAGTAACATCTTTTATAATTAACAGAACAGAATATACATGTTCCACAGCTGGGCCTCTGCCCAGCTCCTCCTTTTAAATAAATCTAATACTGTAAGTATTGCAAAAATATTAGACGAGCTGCATTTGTGATTCCTTTTTTGACGTTAATTTAAAAAAAATACATTATTGGGTGTTTCCCGGTTTATATTGCTAATTCTTATATATTTTTGCAATCAATTTGAATAAGTCATCTACTGTCATTCGCAATAAACGAAGAAGCGTTTTTAAAAGGCTACATCAAAGTCGCAACGATGGCTAATTTATCAGAGAAAGGTCTTTTAAGAAGTAAATCCAAGCAATCACTCTCCGCAATTATCCTCGATTTTTTGGAGAGGATTAATTAACCGAATGGACTTGTGATTAACTTCTATGAACAATGACATCCTTGGGGAAAAACAAAATAATAAAGTAGTGCAATGGTAATAATAAATTCAGGTCTAATTTACAACTATAAGTAAATGGTTGATTATTACATGTTATGCGAAGACTAAGCTAAAACTATAATTAAAAATAATTTTGTCTGAGACTGTAGCACCTAGGCCTCTCCCATTCTAGGGACTAGGTGTTTTAATCGCCACACATTTTAGGCAAATTAGCTATCTGTAACCTAGAACGTCTCAGACTCTTGATGCGGCTGTCTGTGAACTGTGTATGCGTATTTTACATCTAGCTTGCACGAGATGGGTAAACTTCCAACTTAAGGAGGCTACGCTGATATTTTTGCGATACTCACGGGACGGAAGAGAAAAATAGAAAAAAATTATTATTTTTAGTCGGCTCTTACTTTTGTTAAAACTTAAATTTTTTACCCTTTTGATTGTACTAATATAATACAATAATTTTTTTCAGGCATCAAGAACTTAAAAATAATAAAAAATTATTGAAAAAAATTAAGGTGTAACATATGAACTGAGTAGAAGCCTATGGTATAAGCCTGATATTTTACAATAAATAAAAACAAAAGTATTGAATGAAATCAATAAATGAATTAAAATCTATCGAAATTCAAATCATATCCACCCTAGCCTGTGACCCTGCGAAATGGTTTAGTCACGGGCTGAGGTGGTGATGCAATTACGACCGCCTAATTTCACGGTCATCAACCCGCTGATAGACGATGGTGAAATATGGCTACTACTAGTGTATATATTCTTTGCTACTACTAAGATTACCTGTAACCTTATTTTTAATTCTTTTCGTTCTAATTCAATGTTTATTTTTAATTCACTGATGTTCCAATTAGATTGCGCAATATAATGACTTCTTTCCTCAGCTCTGTTGCGTCTCGTTCCGATTCTTCATATTGGAATATTATGTTAGTGATTTTGGCTTTCAACGTGGTGATGTTTTTCAACAATCTGGTCACGTCAAGGGTGGCAGCTTGTTGAGACTACGCGCGATAAAAATTGAGATGTCATCAAGGTCGATTTCATTGAACAGCCTGAAGATGTCTTGCAGATCTTTCTTACCGCGTCCATCCTTATGACGTGCGATAAGTCGTTTTTGGGTCACGGTTAAATCTGCTAACATCTTATCTTGGATGATTTCGTCCTCGGTGGAGCTAGTCATCGGTAACTGCCCTGAGACACCTGGTCCATGACGTCCAATTTTTGTTGAACAAAGGCCATGAACTCATGGACTGCGACGGTCTCGGAGCGTAGTAGATATACTCTTACTAGGGTAAGTGCACCAATGAATGAACCCTTAAGGCAATTTCAAACTTTGAAAATTATAAGCATCTATATATGGGTGGCTGTGCTTTAATAATGCCACTCTATTACATTCAAAATTTATTCAAGTTTAATATTATATGGGCAATCTGCCGTTAAAGGACATAATTACTAAGATAATCGACATTTTATGCCAAAGCACCCAAAATCACCAGTAAATGAACACCAAAATCCAGTGCATGAACATTTTAAACTCCAATGAATGAACGTTTTCTGTTGATACTAATTAAGCTAGAAATCACAAGTTTCTGATTATTTATTAAATGTAAATGAGGTTTTATAATTTATATACTTCTTTGAATAATATAACTATGAATTTGAAAGCGATGGTGTAGGCATATTTATAAAAACACAGTGGGAAATATAAAAAAAATAAAAAGAGAATAAAACGAAAACATAACTTTTATTTAAATTGTAGGCACATTAAAATCACAGAATAATCAACGTAGCCGTTACATGCTATTCGACATACTACTCTTAATTCCAACTAGGTAATCACATTAGTAGATACATTATTTCAGTCTTTACTCTTACAAATTAGGCTTTAGGTATCACTTTTAATTAAGAACTTTGATTATGTTCTACCTAGATAATTAAAACAATAGCGGACTAGAATCATCATTGGTTATAAAAATATATAATTAACAAAGATTAAAAAACATGTTGTACCTAAATCAAATAAAAACAATTTTTATGAAACTTATCAAATTAAACCTTAAGCTTACAATATAACTAATCAACAATAAGCGTAACAAAAATATGATACCTTAATCTCTTCACATTCTAAAAATAACTAAACCGGTTAATGGTATTATTAATTTAAAAACTAACCATAAAGTGTGAGATAAGCGTAATCAGCAGTACATTTTTTCTCACTATAAAAAATATCAAAAGAATTAAAACAATTATTATTCAATATCTTTAAATACTAAATCGTCAAAACAAATTAATCCGCGCCTAGAAATATTCGGTGTACCGAATACACGTTTAATATCATCGAAATCAACTTCTGCAATATCTGGCACTATTGGTTTTGCAAAATTGACAACATTTTCCACAACGGATTTTTTTCTAAGAAAATCTACTTTATATTTTCTTTCATTGTCATTTACCATTATCACTTTTCCTACAAAATGACGCATTCTCTTTCCACTCTCAAATTGAACCAGTACATATCTATCAAATAAATTGTCCTTAAATTCAGTACAAGTCGTAGTAGTTCTCCTGGTTTCTATTTCAGTCTCTTCACTTGCTTCTAAATTATCTGTTGTTATAAAATCTTCGGCAGGTTGTGTGTGATCATCATGTTCTACTTTCATTTTCTTAGCTTGCTTTTTAAGGGGATTTTTTGGGCGTTTCAGTTGAACACGTTTTTTGCTTTGAGATTTTTGTTTGTTCAGTCTTTTTTCTTCTCGTTCCTTTCTTTTATTCGCTAATTCTTCCTCCTTAATTTTTTTCTCATCGTCCTGATTTTTTAAATATTCTTTGTATTTGAGCCCTGTTAATCCATAAGGTGCAGGCATTTTTTTTTGTAACTTTAAATTTCTTTTGTGGTAAATCCGGTATTTTCAAAAATCCTTCTAGTGGATTGGATGGATTTGTATCATTCGATGAATTAATACTATTAGTGGGATCTATTACAGACTTTATTGCAGTCTGACTATCAACTGTGGACTCAAGCGAATTTTTTGCTTGATTAGTGTTATTGCTGCAACTGGTAATGGCTGGTATGGATGATGCGTTATTCTGAGGAGAAGAGCATTTATTAGGAGCGTCAATAATGGGGTCTTTTTCTACTATTATTTCTAAAGTATCATACCATGGCAATGGTATCACATCAGGTATGTCTATTTCATTCTGAATAATAAAATCTATGACATCTTCAGTTGTATCAAAGGGTGGTAAATTGGGTAAAATAGTAGTCTCACCCAATAATATGGAATTATCCGATGGCAGTCGGATTGCCGAATCTATTATAATTGAACTATTAGTTGCATGCATTTCTTCAGTTTCCACATTTGTAATTTCAGACTCGACGATTTCGGGAACACTATTCCTTTCCAGTGCCTGGCTTGATTCCAGTTTGGAATCGTTCTCGTTTGAAGTAGACGCTTCTATAGATGATACTGACAGATCAAGAGGAATGATCGGGGTATTCGGTGTTATCGTGTCACTCTGTTTTTTTATTCTCAAGTTGATTTCTACATTTTTTCCACAGCTCAAAATATTGATGGGGATGAGAACGGTTTAAATTGTAAGACATGACAAACTCATTTCTTATCATCTGGCCAACTTCACCTTCTATAACCTTGATCGTACTTCGTAGATCATCTTTTTTGGTCATGAAGACTAGAGGTTGTGGTGCCTTTTTGGTTTTGTTGCGCAATTTCTTGCCTTCTATTACTTATGCAGCGTGAGTAGTCAACTGCATCTGGAGACATTGGATATAAACCACAAACTCTAAATGAATTTTTTATCGTAGTTGGCTTAATGCTTCTGTCGTAAGCTATTTTAAACAACGCAGCAAAATTTTGTTTTGTTATAGGTACAGTGGATGCCTGTTTATGCTTTCTCACTACCCTTTTCCAATTTTTCTTCAACGGTCCAAATATTCCTACATCACAGGGCTGCAAAATATGAGTTGAGTTGGGATATAAACAGAAAATCATTATTCCTTTTTCACGACAGAAATCAAACATGTCACGATTGATATGGGACTTGTGGCCATCCAGAAATAGCAATACAGGCAACCGGATTTCATTTTTTACCAACCATTCATAAAATAACTTAATGTAGGTAAAAAATACAACTGATACCATCCACCCGCTGTCGGAACGACCAATATACCAAGTATCTGGGAAATTTTGAATTACGGCTGGTGGCATTCTTTTATATGGATACAAAACAAACGGTGGTACATCAGTACCATCAGCAGAGAATGTACATAGGACTGTGATTGATTCTTTTTCTTTCCCACTTGCGATTTCGTATGTATTTTTATAATTTTTGGGCCCCAAAATCAGCCCCGTTTTAAGACAAGTCATGACGCCAGTTTCATCTGAATTGAAAATACGAGTCGGGTCATCTTTAATGTCTAAGGCATTTTCTTCCTCTAAAAACTTGTTCAATTCAGTAAACCAATTTCTGATGGCCTCTTCTGTAACCGCTGCTCTAGCTTTTGATATTATTTCAGCGTTTCTTTTAGTTACTTCGGGATGTCTTCGCAAAAACAAAGTAAGCCATTTTTTCCCCGGTCGGCCTTTTGTAAATTTATTCTCCCTCTCATTTTGTTTCAAGAATATTTCCACAGTATCATAAACTTCTTCCGGGTGCATTGGAAACCCAAGTTTAGCTTTTGTTAAAATCCAGTCTGCTAGCTTGTTTTCTTCGTCGAAAGTTAGTTGTGTTAATGGACCCATTTTTCGTTGCCATGGTACTTTATTATTTAATTTATTACTTAACGTTGATTTGGGTATGTCGTATATTTTGCTGGCTTTATTAATAGACAAATCGTTATTTGTTATACGGGTAAGAGCCTCCTCTAACTGTTGTTGAGTATAACGGAATCTTGCGTATTTCTTTTTAGTAGATTCGATTATTTTTGAACTAAAAAAAAAAAGAGAAATTGAAGTTGAAGCGTCTGAATATTTTTTGTAACTAATTACTGAGATAAAACTAAATATCACTGCTTGAAATATAACAAAACATTAATAGTTTATTTATTCATTCATTGGGGTTAGTTTGTTTTTGAAAACCAGTAAATGAACGTAGCAACAATACTATAGTTCATTCATTAGATTTAAAAACTAGTAAATGAACACTAGGGTGTTCGAATACTGGCCTAAAGGTAGACAATCAATAATTAAACCTTTCTACAAAAAATAAACCAATTCTGAGAACAGAAACATGCAAAATTAGCCAAAAGTAACAAAACAGACCAGAACCAGTGAATGAACACTCGTTCATTTACTAGAACTTTCTCACTTTCATGATCTAGTAATCGAACACCCCTTTATTTTTATTAAACACATGAAATTATAAACAAGTTGTTTTCTAATGAATAAAATAATCATTGTTCTATCTTATTATGCAGTTTTCTTTACACTGTCACTCATATAACGTGAACAACGCTAATACCAAAATGCACTGTCTTACCTGAGTCCTAAATTCTCGCTCATACAATCACGAAACACAACACAACACGTCCACTTTAAGCAGTCGCCATTTTGTAACTACGGGTCGCTGGCAAATGTTTGTGTGACCAGTTTACGTAAAAAAATTAGACCACTCGAAAAAAAAATACAGTGTTTGGTAGAAATGTTTACTTTTCTTATTATATTGAAAAAACTCACTTTTGTTCATTCACTGGGGGGTGTTCATTCATTGGTGCACTTACCCTACTTTCTGAGAGAGTTTTAGGGTAAGGAATTGTCCGCCGTGCTGCCCCAATGCGTGTGGGCGAACTTCACATGTCTTCGAAATTACTTTTTTCTTTCTTATTTCTCTGGCATGCAAGTTTCCTTCAACGCCGAGCACGTGGTAAATCAGCACATAAAATTGCACTTAACAATTTTATTGGTGCCGGTGGGGAACAAACTCTGTTTACTCGCCTACTGTGAAATTTACAGCAAGCGCTAACCATCTGAGCTACCACGGCTCTTTGTCACACTTAGTGGTGTAATTTTTCCCTAATATTATATTGAACCATCCCAGAAGTGTAAAATATTTAATAAAAAAAGACATCGAAATCAGTTCACAATTTTATTTTATTTTATTTTATTTATTAGGGATAACTACAACCTTCATTCTGTGGAAAAAAATCTTATATAATATGTTTTACATAAAATCTTATATAATATATTTTACATAGGGCCAATAATAGTTATCCACTTTCCACAATTTAACCCTAAGTATGAAAAGTTGAGAAGAAAAAGAAAACAAAACCTTTGATCAAAAACAATACTTAATTTAAGAAGTTTGTCATGGTTGACCTAGGAAATTATTAATGCTTCAATGGGATAATATCAACATATGTAAGCACACATATATACACATGTACATATAACCATATTATAATTAAACACTTATACATATAGGCAAGTATATACATATACTAACATTTAAATAAATATACATACATAAAACATACTTATGTACACATTCACATACATACATTACATTAAATTCTATTAAATTCTTTCAATTGACCAAGATATCGCGTAACAAACATAAAGAACATACAGTCAAATTTTAAGCCACCTCGTGTTTTGAAGAAGGCTAAAAATAATCATGATATTAATCCTGACAGTGCAAAACCATTTTCTATAAGTGTAGGTACGTTACAAACACAAATATTACGAAAAAAAAAACAAGATGTTATTATGTTCAAGTAATTTGATTATCGATGATTTATTGCTTACTTCCACTTCTACTATATAATAAGTACAAAGCAGAAGTGGAGGTATAGTACGTGAATAAATGTCATAAGACAGTCTGGGTTTAGTATTAACGGTAGTAAAAACAATTTTTTTCAACAACCGTAACTAATTGTAGTTGGATAATGATTGACTATATTCGCACCAGGATTATATATTTATTTCTTAACATAAATTTCCTTTACTTGCCGACGTTTATTTTTGATGAGAAGCCTAAGCACTGTGATTGTTAACTGTAAAATTGTAGAGGACACAACAGTCAGGCCATAATGTAGACTATATTTGTGTCGACGTTGAGAACAAAAACTTGTAACTCTGTGCTTATATATGTTACATGAAATGCATTGACTAATTTAGTTGTTAGCAATTTATATATTGTTAATAAGAATGGTAAAACTAACTGACTGCACCTGTCATGTAACCTAGGGAGAGGCTGCATGAAAACTTGTTTTGTTACGTACAGCACGCTCTAATACGGTTACCGACGCCGATGATATTTGTTTCCATGAGCGATTGTAAGCCAAACTATTTTCCAATGACTGAATAATAATGTATTTGAATTCCAATTACACATTCTAAATTTTACAAAATGTAAGCTGCATAATTTTGTCCAATTCCTGATTGATTTTCCGAAATCAACAAGTTCCTCATATATATTAATCAGTTTTGTTGCACAATCATATTTTTTACCTTTGAGCTTGTGACAACAAAGAAAGATAGATCAAGTTTTACGTCAGATAATTGTAATAACTATTTATACGTCATTCCAATAGTAACCTAATTAGGAAATGCAACTTACAAAGAAGTATTCATAACGTAAAAATAAAACTTTTAATCAAAAAGTAAATACCTACTTTTAACACTAAATAGAATGAAACGATTTCCATGTAGTGATAAATCATAGTGTATTGAAAAATTGAGATATTTAAAATAATTTATTGACATATATGGAGCTTGCCATCTCTAATCAATTAACAAAAAATAAAAATATATAGCTCACAAACCAATGAATATAGGTGAATATGCATACCACTATATATTTGTTGACGCACGCAGGAGCTACGACCAATCAATAATAATGAGAGTTAATAAAAACCTTGATTGGATCGGCAGCCGCACCGTCCAACAATCGGATTTAAGTTTTCGAACAAAATTGAGATTCTATACCCCAATAACCACCACAGTTTTATTTTCATTTTAATTCAATACAAAATTAAATTAACATTGCATGAATATGATCAAACTTCAATTGCGATAAATGTTGCATCGAAAATCGGGTTATACGGAATTCGGTTATTGCTAGTTGTTCATCTTCTTCCTATCAGTCATTTCAATTCACTGTAGCAAATAGGTAGTGGAACCAAACTACTACTCGGTAACAGGTCAAATTTATCCATTTAAAGCATCATTTATACGTACGATATACCAGGTGTTACAGATATTGCCATTGGGAGAAAAGATTGATATTATCACTCACAACCCTTTATTACTATTTTTTCGGTCGATGATAAAATAAATTTCGATGATGTGGGCCACAGTATCCACTTACCATTAGATAAGGTGTGCTGGTTTGTCATCCTTATTCTACAAAAAGCAGGTGTAATATCAATGTCTTCACTATCTGTCCAAAAGTTTTTTGAAGTTATCTTAAATTTAAATTAGAATTTAAGTTGGACTTAAGTATATATATCCTATACCTTTAAACGAGCAATCCTTGTATATATATATATATATATATATATATATATTTTTTTTTTTTTTATATTATATATATATAATCGGAATCTCGGAAACGGCTCCAACGATTTTCATAAAATTTTGTGTGCAGGGAGCTTCGGGGGCAAAAAAGGGGTGTTTTAGGCAGTGAAAAACTGTTACAATATCGGTAGAATAAGAAGGTAAATTTTGACAGCTTATTAATGATTATAAGTAGCTTAATTGGTATATTGGGCGGTCACAAAATCGTAATACCATGGTTCGAGCCCAGACCGACCGACTTTTTTTAATTTTTTTTTTCAAGTTTCTTTCTTTTTTTGAGAAAATTTATTTTTTCGAGCCCTTTTTTTAGTATTTTTAAAAACACGAAAATTTAAATTAAACTAATTGCACTCATGATTTTTTATTCAAATACCCAGTTCAGTTTTTTCTATTATGTCGCTAAGATCAAAAATATTATTCGTATTTCATCAGTATGTAATTTGTATCTAAATATAATTTCCAAAACACACGAAATAAAAAAACCGAGCGAAAAATACCGAGCATAGCTCGGTCAACCGGGTACTATATATATATATATATATATATATATATATTTTTGATCACTGTGAAAAAAATTGAGGTTTATGATATATTTTTATTTATTTTTGCAAAAAATATTATAGAAAAACAAACCTGGAGATGTGCAGCAGCATTTTTCTAATAAGAACTAAAAAAAATAATTACTGCGGTTGCCAACCCGCTGGCTAAACGTGGTGACTATGCCAACACCTACGAGGCAATCTATGGGAAAGGCCTATGTTCAGCAATGAACTTTTATATGCTATGATGGATGCAAAAAATGGCTTTATGTATTATACATATACAACAGTATCATTTTTGTTTAAAAATTCGTACATCTTAATAAAAGTACTGGCATAATTTCATTTTATATAACACTAGCCTGCCAGGCATACGTTGTTCTGCCCTTTTCGACGAGAATTTGTCATGTCCTTAGATTCGCAAAAAAAAATTGTGGGCAGAAAAACTATCCTATCTCTCAAGTTGGACCAAACTACAAACGTTGTGCAAATTTGATTAAAAGCAGTTAAGTAGTTTAGGAGTCCATCGCGCAGAAACAGCGTGACACGTAATTTATATATATTAAGATAAATTTTGTTCAATAATCTATTTTAAAAACTACCCACAATCATGGAAAATTAAACCTCTACTTTTGCCTAGTCTACAAAATATACTATTATACAGAAACAATTCCCAAATGGTAAATTCTCAATCTTAATCAGTCCGTAAAACCACTTGTACATTAGCTTCTATCCCCGTAAAAAATAGTTAAACTATTATCTGTCGGAAATAACGAGATTTTTCTGGTATATTCCATAATGTCGTCTTACAAAACCCACGGGACAAAATGGGATCTTTCACTACGTCAACACACGGCAGTTACATAATTTCCCTCAAAACTCATGATTTTTTGATTTCAAAAAGATTCATATAATTAAAAAAAAAACTTAGAAGCTTTTAAACATTAGCTTCCAGTACATTAAGTAAATTTATGATTTAAATGTTAATGTATAGTAGTGAATGTTGAGTGTGACAGAAGAAGCATGCTAGTAAAATAATGTTGTCGAAAAGCGGTCGTTTAGAAGTATGTTAGATGTGAATCGGAATAGTGAATGAGTAAATTGGATATGAAAAGTGTGGTTGCAAGAAACTGTGATCAAGATTAATAAATATTTCAGTGGTTTGGATGAATAGCATGAATGGAGAAAGAGTGAAAAAGTAAGTGCCGAAATAATTAATGGGCAAGGTGCGTCCTAAACGGAACCTTATCGAACATATAAGCGATATTTTTTACAGATTAATAGTGAAAAACGAGCACACAGTCCACCGCCATGGTAAGTGGATGCTGTGGACATGGACATCTATATTTATCCTCGATTAAGAATCAAAACGCAGATGCGTTGTCACCCCTGAGGACTAAGATGGAATGCTTCGTTTCCATTAAAAAAAAGTCTCCGGATCTATAT